CACAGACACACACACACACCCTACTTGTCCAAAACACCCTCCCGCCACCGTTTCCCGGTCCATCCCGTTTGATTCTTTGACCTTTTTTATATTTCAGCTCAAAGTCCGACCCCCATAAATAACATTATGGCGGGGTGATGTTTGGAGGGGGGGTGATAGAAGAGTGCAGGACAGGGAGGAAGGGTGGGGGGAGAACGAGGAGGGGGTTACACAAAAGCCCTGTGACAGAAATGCACTGTGAGTAATAAGTAATACACACAAACGCTGATTGATTTGAGCCCTGGTGGACAGTCACATTTATCTTTATTCCATCATCCAGGGGGGGCCCATCAAATAAGAGAGGGCCTCACATAGGGTTTATATGACTGGACAGTGAGTGTGTGCGCCTCGGATAAAGATGCACCACATGTACAGAGTGCAGTGTCTGTCATTGTCACCACTCAAATATAGCAGCAGACACGATGTAGGAATGCCAAGTGCTTTGAGGATTCACATGGTAAATTCAAGAAGACGGAAGAGAATCGTCGGATTTAAACAGCCAAAAAGGAGCCGAAATGGGAATTTTGCTTGAGTTGCCAAATCAGGATTTTTCTGATCCTTCTGTATACACAAAAAGAGTGTAGAAAGCCTTCATTTAGCCCTCATTTCAGCATTATCCCCTCGTTTATGAGCTCCTTGCAGTCTCGTGGATCACGCCTGTCACGGAGAACAGCATCTGTGTCACAGGTGTCTTGTCTGGTGATAAACTCTGGGAGCATTTTACAAGCCAACACCAGTTTTAAATGACTTCATCTCCTTAACGCACGCATCGCATCTATGAATCACGTGCTGCGTTTAAATCAAAAGGAGAAAAACATGAGGGAAGTTAACTTTCATCGGGGGCAGAACTTGAAAGTAATCACGGCCCCCGTATCAGAGCTTACTACAGAGGGCACTAAAAGGGTATGAAAAGTCAATGCTTTTATGGACACGCTCGTGGTGCCAAACAACAAATACAAACTCATATGGATGTTGATCTACAGCCTGTCCGCAATTTCCTTCCCTTCTCTCTCTCTCTCTCTCTGTTTTTTTTTCTTTCTACGGCTGTGTAAAACAATCAATAGCAAGGGCACATTAAGGTCTGGGTCGTATACTTTATTTATATAAGGCAATGACAAATCCTTATGATGCAATGGTTTTTGGAGGCATGTATTACTGCGCCAAACAAATAAATATATTAATGCCCACTGGGGCGGCGGAGAGATTGACGGAACAACGGGAAACGACAAGCCGCCAAATCCATCACGGCGACCTTTCAAAAGAAATGCGCCCACAATTTTGTCCACTTCCTTCTTATTCAGCATTTCAATTAATGTCCCCGCTTCGCTCTCCCTCACTTACGGCTATAACTCACGGTGGGATTACGGAAAGAAGTGATGTTTTGCATATGGAGGGGTTGTCACTTAAATCAGAATCAAACTACCGTAGGAGCAGGAGAGGCCACGAGCAGGAAGTGTGAATGGAAGTGATTTTACCCAATATTTTATTTTATGATGCTGAGTTTAGCCACTTTTAGGAGCTGAAATAGGAAAGCCATCATGAGCATATCAAAGCGCTAAGTAATATTATTCGGTTTGTTCTGTTTGTTCCACACTGGTTGGACAATAGGTAGAATTAGTCCATTAATGGATGAGTCCACTGATGAAATCACGTAAAAATGGAAAATATTACACCAGCTTCTTAAATGTGAGTATATTTCTGCTTTTTCTGGTTCTGTTTTATATCGGTGTAAATTGAATATCTTTGGGTTGTAGAAAAAAAGACTAATTTAAATGCATCATCACCTCGGGTTCTGGGAGATTGTGGTGGATATGCTTCACAATTCTAATAATTAGCAGATTCATGCATGATTAAAACACTGCACACAGACCCTTGTGTCTCTTTTATACACGCAAACCAACACGCACACACAGCAGGCCCTCCCACCATGATGTCATCAGCCACTCGCTCAGTGACACTTTATTAATGGGCGACTGTAAAGGTAAGACACAGGCAGAGAAACACACACATCAGTCTCCCACCGGCCACCTGAGCTGTCTGCTGTCACTCTCTCGCCTCCCTCAGAGGATTCTGTCTGACAAACTGGATGAATTTCACACACATGATTTTTTGTTAGCATTGGTTGGTTGTGAGCATGTAAATAAGACACCTGACCTCTGTGCCTTTCTCATTAACTTAACGGTTCAGGTATCTTTCTACATTTGTTGCTGCAATTACTCCACACATGTAGACCCAAAACTGAGAGCTGGGATTTGAGCAACTGGTTTGGGGGACTGTGTGTGGCGTTCCGTCCCGTCCAAGATCCCCGTGTAATAGGATTCCTCAAAGCTGCAGATGGATGGCAAATCTAGGCGGTTTCATCTACTAAAAGAGGGCATAAATCACTAGCGGAGGAAGCGGGGACGAGGCAGGGGTTATCACCAGTCTGCCTCCCTCATGAGAGCTTTGCATTAAAGCATTAGTGAAATTAATTCATCTTTCATAAGAGGTTTGAGCAGTATCTGTGATCTATGATAACAACCAATTTCTCACTACGGAGGGGCCGGAGGAGAGGGGGGGGCAGGAGGAGGAGAAAAAAAAATACTCGGCGACCCTGATAGACTACACAAATCTGCTCTTTTTAAATGGGCTAACATTATCTGGAGTGCTGCTCTCTGGAGCATCATCCCAGATTCATATCCCAGCCGGGAAAGAGGCATAAATCAACGGGCAAAACTTTTCTCATCTGCCCCCCCACACCCCCCAACACACCTCCTTTCTCTCTACATCACTCCCCTCATCCCTCTCGCGCTGTGCCATGCCAGGTTTGTTTTGTGGTTTTCTTTGCTTGTCCTGTTAAACGCAGAACAATGCTTCTGCTGTAATCATTCTAAATGGCTTTGCGCCTCAATCAGTGTAATTGGTTTTAGATCATCTCTGGAATGGGAAAGTGGGAAAACCTGAGAACGTGAAGCTGTTTGGGTGTGTATGAATGCACATGTTTGTGTGTATGTCTAGGGTGGCTCAGGGTGGGGAGTCCTGCAGTGTGTGAAAGAGACGGAAATTGGGGGGAAGTGTGTGAAGGGGCCGTATCCATCTGTTTTGCATATATTTGCAGAGGCGGCCGTCGGAGCATGGTTGACAGATGAGTGGGGAGTGCGGGGATGACACACGGGCGGTCGTGCTCTTTATTACTATATCAGCACAGCTATGCTCAGCGCTCAGCTCCCCTTCTGATGGCACACACTGCACCGAAAAACCAGAAAAACTGAACACAGCGAAGTGAGCAGAGAATTGCTCCGCGGGACACGGCAGACACAACGAGGACTTTCTCCGTTTCTTGATTTGAATTTTTTGACTGATTTGTCTTCAAATCGGGCCTGTGTCAGCAGGACTTCCTTGAAGCAGAAAAAAAATTGGACTGAAAAATAACAAATAATAAAATGATACATAGAAAACGAAGGTGCATTTTAAAAATCTATTTAAAGTTTATTTTTTTGTATAAATTATAATATTAAGTTTAGCAGAACTCAATGATTGTATTATTATTATTATTATTATTAATATTAATCTTGTTTAGGGGAAATATATGAATATTCATTCTTTTTTGTACTCATTATATACAACAGGTAAAAAAATACTGTATTTCAAATGAGTAATTGGTTGCTTTATTAAAGCTACATACTGTATACAATGTATAAGAGCTGTGTGTTCATTCATCATGACACATTTCCACCTCTTGCTGTGATATCTGTCTCAACAGAAAGCCGTCATTAGACATAACCATCATCAGAAGTTACCCACCTCAGGAAAGTAGTCCTGTGGAAACTTCTCCTTCTCCAGTGAGGGTGTGCTTTCTAGTGTCTCTGAGTAGGTCTCCTTCCCTACCACCTTCTTGAATTTCTTGGCTAAAGTGGAGATCGACAGAGATAGAAGGAGAAGAGGAAAGAGAAACAGAGCAAGGAAAAGGGGAGAAAGACAGTTTTTATTGTTACAACCATGGTGTGTTAATTTTTGGAGACCCCACTTGAGTCAGAATCTCCTAATACATCAGAGCTCACTGAAAGCCAGAGCAGCACTGGCTTCCTCAGACAACTGCACCACCTGCTGGTCAGAGCGAAGAACATCTGCATTTAGCTGGATAGTGAGTGTGAGAGGTCAAACATAGGTACAATTCAAATCTATGCCTCTCACAGGAAGATGTCCCTCTGTATTCACAATAACATGAACACTGATTGAACTGGGCCGATCAGGAGCAATGATTCTGCTTTTTACTGTGTATGTCTGTCTGTCTGTCAATATTGGAAGACGGATCTGTCCTGATGGATTTTCCTCATTTTAAGTCCTGTGTTAGTCTTCTGGGGCATGCTGTGATTTTAGGCCACACACATAAACCTGACTTGGCACTTCAACAGAACCAATGTGACCACAAAGTCCGTATTCAAGCTCATGAACGAGCATTGCTGCCAACAGTGACTTGATTAAACGCGTGTGAGGGAGAACTGGTGTCAATTAGGGGTGTAAGAACATCTAAGAAAAAGAAAAGTAGAGAAAGAAAAGAAAAGTAAGAAAATCTACTTTATCTAGTTTTTGCATAATTTATTCCTCATGAGGAAGGAATATGAAATTGTGTACAGTTGCAGGTTTTTTTCCAGTTCTTTTTGTACTGTGAACCCCGTTCATACTGATCTGTGTGTGACTGTATTCACAATCTGTGAAGCTGAATTTCTCTAAAACCACCAAAAGAGCAAAAGTCTCTCTTATTGAGCATCCATTGGGCCATTATTATGGAAGAAATTCTGACATGTCACAGTAGGAAAAGCACAAGTGTCAATATGAATGATGATTTATTTCCATTTAGCTGCAGGTTTCAGGGTCCTGGTATCGTGAGTGCTGGCTCGTCTTACTGGGAACAGAACAGAGCCCGTGTTAATGTTGTTAGTTAACGTCTGTGCTTTTTCTGCTATGACAAGTCAAAATGTCAGCTATGGAAAAGGCCAACAAAGCGCAGTGTGTACAGGAGTTTATGTAATTCTGACTTTAAATGAAATCTTTAGTGTGTACATCAGGGGTGGTCCTCTCCCCTCTCAACCCCTCCCCCACCTTCGCCCTGTCCTTCACTGGGGTAACTGGTGCTAATGCTGACTTGGGTCTAATAGGAAGCGAGGCGCCTCCACATCTATATCCCCTCTTTAATTAGCGCGGCCGCCGGACCCCGGGGCCCTCTGACACCGCAGGCTGATGAGACCGCCGTAACTGTCCAATAACCTGCCGCACACCATTACTGTAGGCCTGAAATCTTATGAATTAAATCCTAATATTAATAAGCATTACCATTCTGTCCCCCTCCCTTTACATTATCCTCAAAGCCAATCTTAGCTTGCTGGTTTTGATGGAAGCGGGAATAGCCCGCAAATGGTTGTGTGCGACATGCAGGGGTGGGATGAGGGGGCACGGATTTCATCTGGAGACAGTGGTGATGATGTATATGTGGGATTGTGTTGGAAGGGAGCACTCACCTTTGAAATCAAACTGGTGGATGTTTTTCAAAGACTCGTGGATAAAGTAGAAACTTCCGAGAGCCTGCAAGAGGAAAAGTATCTGTGAGATTGGACATATTTTCCATAAAGGATTCCATACTTTTTCAAGATTTCTTTACTGGATCTGGAAGCAGTCCAGGATCCAGATCTATTTATCAAATCAATTCACAGATAAAGATTCTCCACATGAAAGGGGAATAAAACTCCTACATTTCCCAGCATTTTTTCTAAATTTCCAACCAGTCAGGATTTACAATTTATCACATTATTTCTCCAGTTTCCGAGAACGCTGCTCAGAACTTTTCACAGTGTTGTGTGTGCAAAGGATTGACCTAGAGCGAGAATGCTTGACTAATAAACTGGGCTTAAAGTACAGAGCCTCACTCTTTAACACACTCCAGAGCACACTTCCCGTAGCTCGGCTCAATAAGAAGCCACAAACACTGCACACCATCAGCTACACAACAACAGGTGCAACGTGCTCTCAGTACAGTACCCTCAGCACAGTCTCTGTACACCCCATTCTCGGGCTCAGAGTCTTCTAATGTGGCGAGTCAACAATTTGAGCTTTCAAAGGACACATTCAGATGGACTTTTGAATGAGCAAAGATCAACTTCAATAGGCTTAAAATCTTAATTTTCCCTGTGAACAATCAGGAAACTTTCCCAGTCGGGGAACAAGCCAATCAAAGTCTGTGGGAAGAAGTGAGAGTCGTGCAGAGGGGGATTTGACGCGGTTCACAGTCCACTACACTGCTTTCTGTTGCCCTCTTTACATTTAGGGCAAATGGAGGCAAAGCTCAAGCTCAATCCCCTGTGTCTTTGAGATAGCAGACCTTTGGCTCGGGATAATTCTGAGTCTCCTTTCTGCCCTCGAAAAGAGAGGCAATAGGGTGGTGAGTAACTTTTACTTTAAAGACCAGAGCGACCAAATCAAAACAAGAGCGAGCAGAGAGAAAAGATGGGGAAAGACAAAGAGAGTTAGACAGAAAACAGCGACGTTGCGAGGTAAGATAGGAGAGGATCCTCAAGCTCAGGTACAGTAAAAGAAAGAGGGGTGATGAAGGGAGGCTGGAGGGGTGTGATCGAAAGGAGGAGACATCTGCGGAAGAAAAGGCTCCAGGCATGAAGAAGGATTTAGTCTGGAGGGTTTTCCTGCGTTTTCCTATTGAGGCCGGGTGCAGACGCCTCTCCCCGGCACACTGGGAGAGAGTTTGGGCCCGGCCCCTGCATTATTTATGAGCGCCGGCACATCTTGAGATTAAACATTTGCTGATTTGTCAAAAGCACAAACATGAGGTCCTGCCCATCTCCTTGACATATAAGTTCAGCCGACGGAAAACACTGTCGCACATTTAATTGATGAGAACAGCGGCTGGTGACCCGAGCCCCGCGCCGCGCTCCTCTCCCCTCCCCTCCCTCGCTCCCTCATTCCTTCTCCTGCTCTGACGGAGGACAGAGAGAAAGCGGAGAGGGAGGTGGGGGGGTGCGTGTATGAGAGGGGACGCCGTTGGGCGAAAGCAGGACTCAAGGTCACAGCTTCCCATTGCGAGAGGACGGCTTCCAGGAAGGGCCCCAACACTTATTTGTGCTCACTTGTCTTTATGTTCTCTTTCACCTTAAAGTGCCAACAACAGACTTGGAGACAGAGATGGATCGGAAAACAGGCCGAGGGAGGGAAAAGCCGCGCTATTTGTCAAAATGGTGCCACTATGCTAACCGCTGCTGTTTGTGTGAATATTTCAGCGGGTAGTCAAGTAAAAATGACAATTTTGAAAAATGACACATGGGAAATTACAGATAAAAAAGCATATATGTCAGGGTTAAATAGTGGAACTGCAATTTTTCTGGAAAGTTAGTGTCCTACTGCTGAAACAATTAATTGATCTGTTGATTGACAGAAATGTAATAAACTTAACAAATGTTTTATTAAGAAAGAAATTCACTGGTTCCAGTTGCTACAATATGAAGATTTTCTGCCATTCTCTGCTAGTATAGTATTGTAAAGTTAATATCTTTGGGTTAACACTAACAAAAAAGGAATATAAAAATTTCACAAATGATCAATCAATTAATGTGAAAAATACTCTACAAATGAATTGAGTATGAAGATAATGGTCAGCTACAGAGTACACCCACTAACTTAAAGAAAATCTGTACTTGATGCCAAAATCTGATTAATGATTGGTCTTTTTTTTGTCTGCAAAAAAAATAAAATAAATAATAATAATACAAAAATAAATGATTAAACCCTTCACTCTAATTCCAAACAGCCACTGTCTCTCTCTCAGCAGAAGCCGATCCCTCTGCAGGCCCTCAATGCCCCGAGAGTACCAAAAAAATAAAATTAATATGACATCAAACAAATCGGCATGAATCAATTTTCAAATAAATGATAAACAACTATGCCTAAGTGGCTATCCGTGTAATCGCAAAAATCTACTTAACCCTCAACCCTAATAAATATTTATTTGACATCGGGGTTCAGAACCCAGCAGCTGCTCTGCTCTCTCTCCTCTCCTCTGCCTCCCTCCTGCACTCTTCATGAAGAAGCTATTATATTAGCAGGGCGCAATTAATCCATTTGTCTCCTTACATGACAGCCTCAAAATATTCATTAGGGCTGGACTGCGCTGACAGGCCATGCTTATCTTTTACCAGTAGCTTTACAATGGCCTGTGTCAAACGTATGTTTGTCACGTCCCTCTTTATTGATTAGCTGCCAGATTCACTTGAAATAATTAAAAGTATATTTTACATATTTATAAACCCCACTGCCACGGCGGCTACTTAATTTTCCATTAGTAAAATGCAGTCTATTAAGTGCACCATGAGGGCCGCGGGGGAGGTAAGGGGAAATGAGTAATCACCATAATTGTAGACAGAAAGACAATAACCGCGCCATAAAAGCTGGGGTTTTATGACTCGTTCTGGCAATGCTATCTCTTATCACGAGTTGTATTGGCTACGCCGCTCACAGATAAGGGCACACTGACACAACGGCCGCCGTGCTCGCCGTCCGTGTGCATGTGTGTGCTCGTACAAGAGTGTAGTTGACATTTCCAAAACCCCAGCAGATATGGGCTGAACAAGTCCCAATAGACTGGCTGGTGGAAAATAGAGACTTGAGAGCTGCAGTACATAGCCTGCATACTTTGCTCCGCTGAATGCTTTATCGATACCGAGGGCTGCAAAAATTAGTTCTGGCCGACGAAGAGAAGCAGGAATTCTGTGACCCCTGAATAGATTTTCTGCGTTTAATGTGAAAAATGAGCCATAAAGCAAACATAAAAGTAATAATTTTTCTTCAAGGTCTCACCTCCAATCTGTGCTAAGGGAGAGTGGCCAGTCCCAGGAGAGCTGACACATACACACTCCAGTGTCATCACAGTGTCACTGTACAACTTCCGAGGGTAATGTTCTGCTGTCCCCCAGATGCTAGCAAAGTGCAGGCTTATGGGTTTGTGGAGCACATCAGTGAGCATGTGTGTCCAATGAGGGTTTTAATAGGAAAATAGATGATGCACTTTAACAAGCTTACTCAAAGGATGTTAACTGTGGCAGAACACCATTGTTTTTTTTAGGATATGATTATTCTTTTTTTTTTTTAACTGTGTTCAGGTTTTATACATTTGAACTTTGTACACAGAATTACTTCTACAAGACATTTCATGTTGTACTAACTGTTGTATGACCAGATCCTTTTGATGAAGTGAAGTATTTTAGATTATTGTTCATTGTATTTACAGGAGTTATTCTTGGTAACAGGAGGAGGGTTCCACTCTTGTGGTGCTATGATAAAGATTGTACTTTAAATAAGAAGGTTAACTGAGGCCCCAGTATTGAGCTCCCAGTTTACTAGGACTGTGTATTGGCAAGAATCTGGCAATACGATATGTTGCACCACATTCTGTCTCATTTCTTAGTGGATCACCTCTGCTACTGTTGGTTTTTTGTCAACCTTTAAGCATAACTTCTGTATTTTACAACTTTTATTTTTGTAGTTTTGGACATTATTCATACTAATTTTATGGCAACAACAAATTCCAACAGGGGAAAGTACACCAGCAGTGAGATGACCAGACAGGTTGTAAATCAGATTCAATTAAACAGATTATTTAAACCACTTCATTTGGAGGAAAAACTGAAATGTCGGTTACAATCCCTCATTGTACAAAAAGGCTGTGTTCGTGTTAGGAAGAGATTTAATTACAGAAATTAAGTGGCAACAATTTTGGAAATCAATCGTTTTAGTCATTTCTTTTTTTTCTGTATGAGAATATGTTCTGTATTTCTTAGTCTTCTATGATACTAAATTGAATATCTCTCAGTTTTGGACCATGAGTTTGAGAAAAGAAGCAATCTGAAGATGTTTACTTGGGCTCAGAGAGAAAATGGTGGGCATTTTAACTATTTTCTGTCATTTTACAGATTAAACAATTTGTACAGAAAATGATTAGCAGCTTAACCGATAAGGCAAAAAAACCTTAACTCTTGTGTGCGCACAACTATAGGTATGTCAAAGCTGAAATAAGAATGTGTATAAAATGTGATGGATGTTTACAACAGACAAGAATATTTTTAAAATGTATTGTTCACCTTCAGTTTCTTTTTAATTTGATGGTCTGAGGTCCGTTTAAAAAATGTTGAATAGAGTCTCATTATTACTGACAGGTAGGATGGCCAAAACTATGAAAATAATAATAATATAAAATGGCTCTTTAACAGCACTTCCTTTAAAGTGTTACCGTACTTGCACATCTCAATGTTCAGGCTACAGGCGTGTTACAGCCACCTCAGAGAAATATCCCCTCAGGGTTTTCTGTGGCATTTTGCCCTCTAGACAGCAGAGACAAAATGGGCTGTTTTCCAGTTTATATCTCATTGCTCAGAAATCCCTGGAGTCCCCTCATCTGTCAGATTGCGAGTGATGCCACACTTCCACATAAACCTGCACATAGAAACATAACCACCAAAAACAACTCACAAATGTACACGCACACACACACGCACACACGCGGTCTTATCGGAAAAGGTCAATCA